TTTTGGTTTTTGGCATCAACGAGAACTGGTCTAGTAATAGGTATAATAATTTTTGGTAACAAAACTTAAATGAACTCCGATTCGTTCTCCACTTTGATTTCAGACGTATACAGATAGTCGGCCTGACTTGAGGCCTCTTCTTGGGGCGTGCCGGTGGCCACCGCGTCATCCGCCAACTGATTGGTGGCCTTGGCCTTTGGCTTTTGCTTGGACAGCGGCTCCAGGAAGAGTTCGGCATCGTGTAGCTTCTTGTGGCGATTGAGGTGGGATCGTCGCTTGAACCACTTCAGGCAGAAGTCGCACTGGAATCGCTTGAAGTCCTGACACTCCTCCCGCTGGTGCAGCATCAGTCGGCCGAGGGTGTTGTAGTAGCGTCCACATTGGCACAGAAGCTGGTTCTTGGGGCCGTGACGCACAAAATCTGCAGGCAGACAGGAGAAACAGAAACGGAAAACGTAATGCGGTTGTTTTGGGTCTTTCCATACAACTAAGCAAGTCACATAGGTTACAGAGGGGGTTTATTTTCGATTCTGGCTAGTTTTGTGGTGATCGTGGTGATGAATACAACAAATTCGTTTCAGTTTGACATTTTTATTGACTGATAAATGCATGGACTACTTATTGCTATACGAGTCAATTTAAATTTATAGACCTTTTTTCGGTTGGGCCAGCCATCCAGTCATCCAGCCATCCATCCATCCATCCTCCAGCTCTCGTCATCTCGATCCACGGTTTAATCCTAGAGAAAAGAGAATCATATTAGTGTTGAGTTTACAGGTGGGCATCGCAAGAGATTCAATGATTGCCTTCGATTCGATTGTAAACATTTATTTATTGGTATTTTTGGAGTACTTTCATATACATGGTAAATACGCAGTGACTGGGTTATGTTTTTTTAAAACGTTAACTACGGTACAATGTTTGATTTTTAAAATACTTAAACTTACACTTGACTTTGAGCTGATTCTAAATTTCATTCATTACAGATTGAGCAATTCAACTTGAACTTGACATGACGGCGCTTTTCGATACTCAGTTCAATTCGCTTACTGTATTTAAGATTACACTTTGAGATCATAACTTTGGCTATATTACAAACAGGTTACTTACTATTGGTGTTTAAAGATATTTTTTGAGATTTAAAAAATATTATAGAGGTTATACACTAAATATGTACAAAGGAACATTAACATTTATGGTTTCATATGGCTAACTGATTTACTAGACACTTCTAATAGAAATAGCATTACAATGCTTGTATGTATAAGCTACTTTTTAAATCTCAAAACAAACAAAAAAAAAACAGTGAGCCTCGTGTAATTACATAAATGTAGGGTAAGAATTCATCACATCCATTATGGAAACTCACAACAACAACAAGTGCTAAACAGAGACTACAAATGGTAAATACGTCTAAGAGTTAATCGATCTAGTTGCCAAGGATCGCCTCCCCGGAATCGGCGTGTTTCTGGTTCATATGCTTGCGCAAATCCGATTTGTATTTGCACTTGTGCGGACAATGGGGACACTTGAGATTCGGCTCAACGCCGCATTCGTAGTTCTTGTGCCGCTTCAGGGATCCCTTGATTTTGTAGGTCTTGCCACACACATTGCAGGCGTACTTGCAGTCATCCAGCGGATAATCACCGGTAACCTGCTGCAACGTCATGGTGGTGGTGGCCGTGGTATGGATGCTGCTGGATATTCCATTCAGGTACAGCTTTTCATGCTGCTGTTGATGCTGAACCGTCGCCTCACCATCTTCGTGAATTTTCTCAACCACATAGCCCTCGTCGTCGAGCAGTTGATCCTCGTCGTGCTGATCCACCTTCATGGCTTCCAGTTCCAGTTCCCGTTCGGCCTCATCGGCATCGGCCAGCAGTAGGGTGGACTCGTGGCTGGTCACCACAGTGGTGCTGGCACTTTGCGGTGCCATGGCAATGCTCGTGGCTCCATACTGCATCACGTCGCGCAGCAGCATCTTGTCCTCCAGCCTGGAAGTGTCTATTTTGATGTACTCCTGTCGCGCATGCGTCTGCGGTTGCTGGATAGTTAAATGCTGTCGATGTTGCTGGTGGTGTTGCTGCTGATGTTGCTGGTGGTGTTGCTGCTGCTGTTGCTGATGTTGCTGCTGATGCTGCTGCTGCTGCTGATGCTGCTGCTGATGCTGCTGGTGATGTTGCTGCTTCACAATCTGTATGGTGGTGGCCTGTGGTTTGTGCAGCAGACTGGTTGTATTCGTATTCGTTGTGGCATTTTTGGTGAGTGCCGGTATGGTATACTGGATATTGCCCACCGGATTGCCCAGATCGTCGGGCGGCAGCTCAACCACCACAGTCGCGCCCGACAGCAAACTTGAGCCACCGTTGCTCAGAGTGGTGGTGCTCAGAGTCTGGTTGGGAGCAGCACTGGCAATCGAATAGGGCACCGTCTCCAGAATTGTCCAGTAGCCATCTGCAAGAAGCCAGGGAGAAAAGTAAAAACACTGGTTAGTCATCCGCCGGATGATTAACTCTACAAATCAGTTCTATAATTACTTGTAAGCGGTAACAAGTGTGTGGTCTGCATGGTCGTCCAATTGGTTTCTTTTTTTTTTTTTTTTTGGATATTTGGATTTTGGTATTTGGGTGGAGAGTGTGTGAGGGATTATAAACTTGGGCTTGTTTGGGTTTTGCTTTTACGCATATATTATTTTTATGCTTTATTCTTAATTGCTTGCATTTACAATATATATTTTTTAAAAAAATGTACAAATTCTTTCTTTACTTTTGCTTTGCTTCATAGAACACCAAAAAGACTATAATTACAGGCGTTTATATAGTAGATAATATATCGAATTGTTAAATGTATAACTGAGGAATATATATATATATATTTATATATATATGTGTGTGTGTGTGTTTTTTTGAAAACGTGGCAAACTAATGGCGCTTTAAGTCTTTGATTGCTTTGCATGCGAAAGCCCTAATTGCTGGCAAGAATATTTGAGTTTTGAGAACACCAACCACAGTAAAACTAAACATTTAGGTATTCCATATCGCATCTGGATCTTGATCTGTACGTATCGTATGTGTGTATAAATAAAAGGGTCTTGCGACCATTTGCGGCTAACTTAGGCATAACTCAAACATAAAGACACTTTTAAATGAAATGAAAACTTTTAAAAAACGGAATGCGCTCAGAGAAATTGATATACAATATATAAAAAAAAGTTAAAAGTTCGTTAAGTAATTTGTGCAGGAATGTGGACCAGCTTGCTTTGCCACAACAATTCGGTTTCGGTAAGGGATTGGTTTAGATGGTTTGGAGATTGGTTGGAGGTAGCTAGCTACTACTTGGACAAGCAACTATTGACATTATTTCATTTGGTAAACATTTCACATTACGCCTCTCGAGCGGCTGCTCTCTGGGTGTTCAACTTCTCCGCTTCTCTGCTTCTCTGCTTCTCCGCTTCCCTAGCCATCGTCGTCGTAGTCCTCGTCCTCATCCTCGCTTTCCTGGAGCGCCGGCACCGCTGTGATGGTCAGATCCCTGCCGGCAAAATCGAAATTGATCTCGCAAAGGGCGGCTGCCACATCGCTGTCCATGCCACCGCCCTCGGGATCGCCATCTTCGGCATCCCCGTCGTCCCCGTCCCCGTCTCCGGCATCCTCGTCATTGCTCTGATCATCCTCGTTGCGTATCACATACAGGCTCTCCTCATCGTCCTTGGATTGCTCGTAGAGCATGCAGTGCTTGCGCTTTGCGTGCCGCAGCACATGATCCTTGCGCCGGGATCGATACTCGCAGGACACGCACTTGTACTTCTTCTGCTTGAGGCAATACTTGCGCACATGCTCCTGCAGCTTCTGATGCGACTTGTAGTACCGATTGCAATGCTTGCACTGCATAAAAGCGTCCCGGGATAATCCGCCGACGCCTCCTCCTCCTCCACTGGGATTGGTGGCTTTCGCATGGGTGATGGTAGTGCTACTACTGGTGGTGGTGTTATTGGTGTTATTGTTGTTGAGATGATAGCCATAGAACTCGTCACTGGCATTGGCACTGGAGCCGGGATTGGCACTCGTCGAGGTGTCCACGCCCAGGAGACTGCCCAGGATCGGATAGATGTCTGCTGGTCAACACACACGGGTACACACACAGCATGGAGGTGTCGGAACAAAATAAAAGGAGAACAAACCAAAGGCAAATTAATAATGGACCAGGTAACTGAGCTCACATAAACTTAAATTATGTTAAATTAATCAAATAATATTCGAGAACTTAGTGTTTTTGTTTTTTTTTTTTTTTTTTTTTTTTTGGCTACTACCCAAGAGACGCTGATTGGTGAATGTTGTTGAATGGTGAATAGTGGTGTTCTGGTTGTTGTTGAGTTTCTTGGTTTGGTTCTTGTTGATGAAGTTTTAGCAGCTCTGGGAGGCGGTTGATGATGTTTAGTGATGAAGATGCGGTGATGGATGGATGACACAATCCCCAGAAGAATAACACGAATGCACCACACATACAAAAGCCACTCAAGCATTGCTCTAAACAAAAGCTTTGGAACGAACATATGTACATAAACAATAAGGTAACAGACAAAGAAATCACAAATCAAATGTCCAGTGTTGGTGTGTCGTTGTTGGTGTGATTTTCAAAACTACAACAATACAGCAAATTAAATTACATATGTTTATCATATATTTGGTTTGTCAGTATAACTAAGCTCAAATCACTTTCAGTATAATAACATTGATCAGCATTTGGGGGCCACTAAAGAATTCCTCTGTCTCCGCCTGAATTTCTCGCACCTCAGTTCATCCAGCAAACCTAGAAAAAGAGAAAAGGTACTATTAGTTCAAGGTTTTTCAGCTTATCCAAGGATTTTACTGCGTTCTCGTACATTTACTGCATATATGTTGCCTGTAAAAAGAGAATTTTCAAACTGCATTTAAAGGTGGTTTTTGTTTTTTTCTATTTTTTCAATATATATTTAAATTTAGTTTTTATTTGTTGTTTTGTTTTTGCCTGTTTACTTATAACAATTAAATCGTTTTTCTCGTTTAACATTTAAAATAGTTTTACAAATTTTGTTTAAGGCGTTTTCTCGGCTTTATACACAATTACATAATTAAATGTACTCTGAATTCGTTCTAACATTTTTATATTATCGTTTCATCGAAATTGGTTTAAGCACACTTTTTCATAGTCTAACTGGCATTTTGAATGTCGTTTGTTTAGATAGATTTCATTTTCATAAATATATTGATTACTATTTTCAATTTGTTAATCTAAATTGCAGTGCAAAAAGCAATGTGATTCTTTGTCGTGTTGTATAAATTTATTGTAAATTTATTTGTTGGCGCAAACTTAGCTATGGTACAAATGTTCCAACTCGAATCGGTTTGTGTTGCGTTTTGTAGACACATTTTCTTTAGTTTTTTTTTTATTTTCGCCGCTTTGCATTCATTGTCAACATTTACTATTCGTGAAGCGTGCGTTAACAGCAATCAACATTAATTTCTCACTTCCTTTCATTTTTTGTTTGTTAACTTAAGGCTACGGTTTACTTGATTTATTGTGTATGCGTGTGCTATGTATTTAATTCCCCATTTTGTATTATTAGTATTATTTTTGGAAATTATATTAGAACAAAAAAACAAACAGAAAGTATAGCTTAGTAAGGAGAAACAAAATATCAGATTTTCTTACAACATATTTTTATCTATTATGTATGTGTGTTGTTTGTGTATTGTGTGTGTGTGTGTGTGTATGTGTTTGAAAAGAAAGCCTTTCTCATATCCATAACCCAACCTATTGCCCACCCACTCTGCTCTTCACTCAACTTATCAGATTCGATCTGACCTATGCTTCGTTTCATTTCATTTCAATCACAATTAATCACATCGATTCCTTTATATGTTTGTATGTTTGTTTGTATCTATATAAAGATATATTTTGCTTTACATATAATTTTACATTCACAGCTCCTTGTTTACAACTTTTTTAAACGTGTATTTTTGTGTTTTGGGGTGTGTTTTGGGTGTTTATAAATCTTTGATATTGTTTATTTAACAGAATTAATAAAGATACATATTAGTAGAAATAGAGATATCTGGGTTAGTACAATTTCTCGAAAAATATTTCATTTTTTATGGTATCTGCCCACATACATACTAATCCCGACTATCTTAATTCGTTCTCAAACTCGAACTAATCGCCTGGCTCCATTTGGTGTCTGTATATATATGCGAACTGTCTGCGGTTTGGGGAGTGTTTTGGGGACTTTGTGTTAGTAAATTGTTTGTTAATCAAATTATATTAAAATTTATCACATGCTTTTCTTTACATTTTAACTATACGACTCGAAAGTTTTGCCATTTCGGACCCAATTCGCATTCGCTTGCATGGTCTCGTCTGTCTTGGATTTTCTTTAATATTTGGTTCATTTCGAGTCCATCACATGCGCTGTTGATAAATTATAAAATAGGCATTGCAGATGAATTCATCCTCTTCTCGTTGCTTTTGTTGTAACAAAAAGAACTAAATGTAACTAAAATTATTATGCTTTATAGATAAATAAGAACCACAACCTTAGAAAAAGTTAAATAAATCGCATTTAGATTATTGATTATACAAAACGGATACAAATAGTGAATTTCGTGTAGTGCACATTGTTATTCATAAATCTAACAAAATGATAAGCGAAAACTCTCTAGAAACTGACTAGCGCAAGAAAGCGATTATAAAATATTTATAATTATAAATGTATGAATCAAAGCAGATAACCAAAATTTTTGTTTTAATTTATAACGTATTAAATTTAGAATTTCCTCACCTAATTCGAATACTGACCGATAAGAATTTTGTTTTTTTCTTTTTTTTTCGTTTTTGTTTCAAACAATTTAAACAATTTCGTTTAATATTCGTACATATTTTGTGTTGATTTGTGCCAATTTGTTGTCTGTGGTTTAATTTACTTCTTTATCACATTTTTTGTGTGGCACAAACTTCAAAACTGACAACAAATTATGGTATGCGCCCCTCTATGTGGTTTCTTTCGTTTTATAATTTTTTAAGTTAACAATATTTTTGTTTATGAAGTACCTAAGCAAGTTTGTTATACATTTAAGCTCTTCGTTTGTATATCAGCCACTATCAGCCATTATCAAAACTTGAATTCGTGTTTGTGTGTCTGAATGTGTGAAACAAACGCTCATCAATATATCTATATATATTATCGTTTTATAACAAGACCGCTCTGCAAAATATTTCTGGTATTTTCTTTCAATTTTGACAAAATAAAATTATTTTTAACAAGAAAAAATATACAATTATGATTACTATTAATTACAATGAGGACTATATTCATTATATCACATACCAATTTATGTTTCTGACTGTGACTCGATGCGAGTTCCCCCAACCCGTTTACATTGCCAATTTCCACCTTCTTTTTCACACTCGTACATGCTGCTTGTTTATGTTTATGTTAATGTTTATGTTAATGTTATTTAAAAATAATTAATAACTGTTTTAGTTTGCCTTTAAAAACGGTTTGCTTTGTGCAGAGGCGTCTGTGAACCCAAAGCCACGCTAATTTTGATTTGTTTTTCACTTTTTTGGTCAAATTAAAATTCCCGCTATCACATATCGTGGTTCATAATTAAATCATAATTTAAAAAACGTTCATGGAATGAGCACAAAATAAATTAATAAATTGTTTGCTTTGTTTTTAGAAAAAAGAGTAGATAGAGATCGTTGAGTTTTAACTACTAGCTATAATTTGTTTTATATATATATGCGTAATATTTGTATTTGTATCATGCATTCCTGTGGCTTTTGGGGTGCGTACGCGTGCGTACCTAAGCAAACTTCGAACATTTTTATCGATGTGAGTTTGTGAATATAAACAAACAAAAAATGTGAAAAGGTAAAGAACGACGACTGCGTTTCATATCAGTGTTTTTTTGTTTTTTCGCGTTTTTGATTTTTGTTTTTTTTTTTTTTTTTTTTGGTGCCCGTTTCATATTGCACATGATCATCTAGTCGATTCAGATTTGGAAACGCCTTCTCTGGGGTCCTAACTTAAGCTCTACATTTTGACTCTGTCTCTGACTGTGTTTTTCGTGTGTCTCCCTATGTATATATATATATATCATTATAATCATGAAAGACGCGCGAGAGTGCCCTGCACTAGAAATTACACTATAATTAATGTGAATGTTATTTTTTGTTTGCGTTTGCGTTGGCGTTTGTTGCGCTGTTGCTGTTGCTGCTGCTACAATAAAATGCATAATTTTTCCCATTTTCCGTATTTTCACCATAATCAAGAAAAAGTTCATTGAGATCATTGAGTTTTCCTAAGGATTTACACACATCATGCAACACGCGGCGCCGGCTGCACTCTCGCGCGCCCCTCAAACCCCTTTAAATTGCCTGCGTCAAAACTCTTGCCAATTCAAAACCAAAGTAATTACAAATGAAATATCGTTACTGTTACGAAGAAATCTATCAAGAAAGATTGAGGTTGAACCAAAAAAAAGAAAAATATTTAAAATGGGCTAAGAATTAGAATTTGTTAATAATCCTTCTGTATATACATAGTTACGAGTTAGTTGTATATATATTTATGTAGAATATATATATATATGTAAAAACGACTATAAGGTTTCAAGATCATTTGGAAAATTACATAAGACCGCGCTCTGGACTGGACTGGACTGAACTGTGTGTCATATTAGGACTTGGGACTCTGACTGAAGCTGACCTGGCACTAAGGACCCGAAACCTACGATAGAATCTGCTCTGTGAACCCACTCTAGATCCCCGATACCGATACCGATGCTGATACCGATGCTGATACCGATGCTGATCCCGGGTCCGGATCCGTCCCGACAGCCACTAGTTGTTTAAGAGCCTGGCGTCATCGGATGCCGTTGCAGCGTTTGTTATATCATCGATGTTGGTGGGTGCGCATGTGCAGCACGAGATTGTGTTTGTGCTTCGACTTCTTGTGACAAATGGGGCACTCGAACTTGGGCTCCACGCCGCACTCGAATCGCACATGCCGGTTAAGGCTATGCGGCCGGGCGTAGGTATTTCCGCACCTATCGCAGGCATAGGCTCCTCCACCGCTTCCTCCACTTCCGCTACCGCCAGTGCCACTGCCACTACCTCCTCCACCAGCAGCTCCGCTCCAATTCCCCACCGCTGATCCGCCAGCTGATGATGATGCTGCTGCTGCTGCTGCTGCTGCCGCCGCTGCAGCCGCTGCTGAAGTTGAAGCACCTCCTCCAGCGGCGGATGAGGCACCACTTGTGTTATTGGCCGCCAGTCCAGCAGCTGCTACGGCCACCATCACGGCGGCAGCACTGCTGGTGGGATCCTGGCCAGGACCACTGCTGCTGCTGTAGCGACGCGTCGGCGTCTCGGGACGAGGCACTTGAACCGGCACAGCCGGATAAATCAGCTGCGTGAGGGCACGACCATGGTGGTGGTGCTGCTGCTGCTGCTGATGGTGGTGGTGATGGTGATGGCCCAGGGGCAGGGTAGCCGGACCTCCGACCTGGGCAGCAGCTAGCAGGGCTTTGGCCAGGTCCATGCGCAGATCGCAGGGTTCCATGCTATCCTCGTCGTTGCTGTCGTCGTTGTCGCCGTTGCCATGGCGCGGCTGAGACTTGGGCACCAGCAGGATGCCCGGGCAGTGGGTGGTGGGCGTGGCTCGGTCACTCAAGTGCTCGTTATGATCCTCCAGACCGCTGCCCGGTTCGTACTTGATGACCGGCGTTCCGATGGGACTCGTGTGGGGACTCGTCTTGATGCCCAAAAGGCTGTAACTGCGTCGCTTAGGTGACAAGCGTCCAAATTCTGAGAACATTGATTAAAATATAAAAATAGAAAATGTCATTTTAGTAAGTTGTAATTTCAATTTAAAAAAAAAAAATTTTTTATTTGATTTTTTTTTTTTTTTTTTTTTTTTTTTTTTTTTTTTTGAAATTATAAAAAGACCTATTACTAACTGGAAATAAATAAATAATAAAGTTTTACCGTAGTTGTTTAGAGTCTTTTGTTTACTTGTTTTTGAGTTAAATATGTTGCTTTAGTGATACATGGTGCTATATGGAGTGGAGTGAACTGGATTGGTGTGTGTGTGTGTTTTTTGTGGTTGGTGTAGATGTCAGTGTATCTGTTTGTGTGTGTGAGCTTGTGTAAGTAGGCTGCAAAAGTAAATTTTCATTAAATATTAAATTAAAACACAATGAGTACATCGAAAATTTTAGGAGAGCTAAGCAAAAATAAACAAAAAAAATTTTGTTGATAAAGATACAAGTGATAAATGGTTTCAAAAACATCGTTTTTTGAATTATTATATAGGAGATGTGTGTTGGGTGGTTAGTGACAAAAAACACTTAATATTTCTAGAGAAGGGGTGGACGTATTTCTGGCAGGACTTGGAAATTTCATCCCGGTTTCCAGTGCCCAATGTGTTCTCTGCTCGTTTTATCACTTTGTAAATACGCATGCAATATTAAAATGTAAGGGAAATCATAATACAATAGTCGAGTAAAATTAAAAGTTCTCGATAGAAGTAATGGATATTTGTAAAATATAATTCTATACAAACTAAGTTTTTTTTTTTTTTTGGTTTCATTTTCATGTTTTAATATTTAAATAAATTTAATGCTATATATAGTAATCAGATAGATTTATACGTTTCACAATCGCTAGGAAGAAGACAGATAGATAGGAAAAATAAACTTAAAGTTAAACCTCGGCAATACAAACAAATGGAGTATTAAAAAAAAAACCAGATCAAGCTACAAATCTAATAGGTCTCAAACATAGTTATGTAAATTATAGTTACTTCATCTAACAAATACATATGTATATAAGGACTAAGTAAAAGGATACATAGTTATGCATATCTATATTGTATAAATAGTATTTATATATGTTGTAGTAGTTAAGCATGCAAACAACAATAAGAGAGGGAGGAGGCAACACCATGAATCGCGTTGTTTGGCTGGCGTTCGCGTTCATCAGTCAAGACCCACATCATCTTCATTAACATCACATCACATCCATCCACCTGAAATAGAGATCTGATTAGTATAGATTCTAAGCAAATGTTTGGATTGCCTAAGAAATTGGTGTTTCGGATGGAGGAAGGAGGGAGAGGATGTAATGTGGTTGTGGATGTGGGAGATGTGCAGTGTCGATCGAGTTCTACCTGTATGATGGAATGAGATGAGAAGTTCAATGGCGATCTCATTAAAATAAGTACAACTTGGGGTTTTGGTATTTTGTTTTTGACATTTGCTTTTAATTGTATTTCGAATTTTTTGTGTTTTGTTTTTAAATACATTTAGCCGGCAATAATTACGATTCATCGGTTTATGGGAAATACATAGTTATAATCGTACTCAATTAATATAATGTGGTAATCTCTCTTGCAACTTCATAGAGGTATTTGTTATTTTTTTTTTTTTCGTTTTCTTTACATTTTGGTAAGGTAATTTGATGGTACAACTCGCTGGATTCAGTGCCGGATCTGAATCGTGGTTCTGTATTTTTGTTTTTCTCTTTTTTAATCTAACAATTTTCAAAGCATACATGCGCCGATGATATTTCGAATTAAATTTTATAAACATTGTCATTATCAATTAGGTTTAATTTTTGTCTAAAATTGAAAATATTATATCTCATTATCGTTTCGTTTTGACTAGATAATCGTTTCAGTTAATAATTATTATTTTATAAGCATAACTTAATGACCAGAAATAAAATCTTTAAAAATGTTTCTAACAAATTAAAAAAATTATTGCGTATGCAAACATAATACAAAATCAAAAAGTTTATCAATATTATTATTCAGTATCTTTGGAGGGGCATTTGCTTTATGTTCATGCCATGCATATAGTTAGGGTTTCTTTTATTTTAATAATTATTACAAAAGTTTCCCTTTTTTTTTCATTTGTTGTTGTTTTGTTTTTTGTTCTTGTGGTTTTGTAGCACACTTAAACAAAAATTTTGCTGGTGACTAGTTTATATCATTTTCTTTTTGGTTTTGTGTTCATTTCTTTTTTTTTTTTTTTTTTTTTTTTTTTTTTTTTTTTGTTTCATGTTTTTTTTTTTCTGGGAAAAAATGTACACATATTTATATGAATTTTAAAGTTAATTTTTGTTTGTGAGAATTCGCTAAAGCAATACAACACTCCTTGTTCTTGCATGTCTTCTGTTCAATGTATTGCAAACTACTCCTAGTTTCCACGGCATCATCACCGGCTTCGTTCAACGAAAAGAAAGAAAAAAAAAAAAAAAGAAATTGTGAATGGGCGGGGTTGCCCTTGCAGATCCGATGATCCGTAGCTCCCAAAAATAAACTCAACTCGATGGAGTAACCGAGATTCGCACTAGCAGAAGATTCGTTCCCAAAGCCGTTCATTAGCCGCGGCCTGCGTTTTGTACAAGTCCAAGTCTCTCCTAAGCACTGTCGTTCTGGAACACCAAAGTGTAGGTACTGCTGGTGCTGCTTCCGCCGCCTACGCCTCCGCCTCCGCCGCCGTTGTTGCTGTTGTTGTTGTTACCACTGTTGCTAACAGGAACGACGGCACCGTTGCCAACACCAACGACCATGGGCATGCTGCCGCCACCGGGCAGAGGCTTCTTCTCCTCATCGGCATCCTTCTCGCGATCCCGACACTTGGTGTTCAGGTGTCGCTTCAGATTGCTGTGGACATTGGTGGCATAGCCGCACATCTTGCTGCAGAAATAGCGCGGCGGCAGGCCGCACTCGTTCTTCAGGTGACACTTGAGACTGTTCTTCCACTTGTAGGTGCGATTGCAGTTGCGGCACACCCACGGCTTCTCGATGTCGGCATTGTAGATCATGTCGGCGGAGTGCTCCAGTGACTCCTTGCGTGTGCGCTTATTCTGGACGAGGACGCGATAGCGATTGTCATCCGAATGCGACCAGTGCAGGTCGAGATTCTGGTCCTTGATGGGCAGGCCCAGTTTGTTGCTCATCAGCGTGCAATTGGTCGTGTTGAGGGTACCGCTGGTTCCCGCACCGGCCATCAATTGCTTGGGTGCCGAAATCGTCGTTATGGTCGCTGGTATGGCGGGCAACTTGATCTGCAGCGATTGGCTGGTGGGCTGCAGCTGCAAGTGCTGCAGATGCTGTTGCTGTTCGAGCAATTGCTGCTGCTGCTGGGCACTTAGGACGATCTTTTTCACGGCACCCGCACCACCACCAACACCACCAGTAGCACCACCAGCAGCAACAGAGCCCTGGCCGGTGGCCATTTGCTTGTCATTCGATTGCTTGGCATGCTTCTGAGTGGCAGCCGCTGTGGTCAACAGATCATCGTCGTCGTCATCGTTGTCCATTAGATAGCTATCCTCGAACTCCTCGTTCTCGATCTTCACCGCATCGTATGTCCATGACAACGGGCTGCCCAGCTTCAGGTCATAGTCGAAAGTGTTCTCATCCTCGATGGCCTCGTTGCACACGGCCTCGTCGTCGTCGTCATCCCCATTGAGTGGCATACTCTCCGGATTCTCAATCTTCACAATCACCTCGGTCATGGTGTCATCGATGCTGTCCAGTTCGACGCCGGCCGCCGCCAGCGCTGCGGCCGATGCGGCATCCACATTGCAGTTGCTCGACGAGCCATTCTTGTTCCCATTGTTCGCCGGCGTGATGCAGGCAATGGTTGTGCGTCCGATGCTGCCGATGCGGGTCACCGTCTGGGTCAGCGTCTGGGTCAAACTGCTGGCATTGTTGTTGTTAATGTTGCTGCTGGCAATGGCCGCTGCCGCCTGCTTGGCCGCAATGGTGGCCGCCGCCGCTGCCGCCGTGGACGTGGATGTGGATGTGGTCGTCGTCGAAACTCTCGGCCGGATCGACGCCGATGACTTGTTAGTGATTTTAGCTTCGCTTATGAGTGACTTTTTGGACTGAGTTAGTTTGTCTGATGGTTAGTTTTATTGTCGGTTTTTTTTTTTTTTTTTTTTTTTTTTTTTTTTGGTTTTTGGTTAGTCATGAAATAGAAATTTGGAATGGTTAAAGTTAGATTATTGTTTGAATGAATGGTTATAAAAAAGGAAATACGTAAAAAAGAACTTATGATGTGTCTGTGTGTGCTCAGCAACAAAACAAAATGTAAGACTGTAAAAAGAAAGCAAAATTATTGGAGAGTTCAAAAATACGATAAAATAACCAAGGTTCGTATAAATAACAAAATCAATCAAAATCATATATGAAATAGGTGTAATGCAACCAGTGCAGCCAAATACCTGAGGGATCTTCAGAGGACTTCTCGATCATGGATTGATCCGCCAGCATAAGCCAGTTACGCACGCGGATCCTGGATTCGCCACCTTCAAGCTGACCACTTTCATCTGTAAATGGCAAGTTATTTATTTGTTTGCATTAGTTATCAAATATACGATAGACAAGTATTCATATATTAAACAGATTTTGATGTGTGCCTAAACTAGAGATGATGGCCTAACCGTTTTTGTATCTTCAATAATTTGTGTCTTTTCAAATAAAATGTTTCCAAAAATGAAATCATAAAATTGTGTATAATTATTAAAAATTAAAATGAATACTTACAAGCAGTAAATAAAGCGCTACTAAATCTGTGTGTAAGAAATAAGACGTATCAACATAGACATAAATAAATTAATTATCAACGCACTATAGCAAACAACTTTCGTTTCTTTTGCGTTTTATTACATGGAATTTGTATATTTTTCACATTGAATTTGGGTTTTTTTTTTTTAATCAATTTACAAAAAGAGTTTTACAAACAATTCATAGAAAAAATTAAATATATATATTATATATATAAGGGTATGCT